TTTTTTTTTTTTTTTTTTTTTTTTTTTTTTTGTATAGAGTGGGCTCGTGATATATTTGAGGGTTTTTTTTATCAAAGAATGTCTGAGGCAAATAATTTTATAACAAACCCTAATCAATATCTTAAACAAGTCTTATCTGGTAAACCCTAAACCCTAAACCCTAAACCCTAAACCCTAATATATATTGTATATATATAATGCTACTTGCTGTTGCTGCTGCTGTTTTTATTCTTTTTTTTTCCCCTTTTTTTTGCTGTGTTTATTGTTGCTGCTGCTATTGTTACTATTATTATTAATATTGTTGCTGCTGTTGCTGCAATTGCTGCTGTTGCTGCTGTGTGTATGCATGCAGAGGGGAGCACAGGGCAACAACTACAACGCCTAGAGCAGCTGCAGCAGACATTATCTATATTCTATGATAACCCCGCAAGCAGCAGCAGCAACAACAACAACAACAGCAGCAACAGCAACAGGAGCAGCAGCAGTATTGGTGGTACAATAATGTGTAAGAAAGGTACAATAGAAGGATGTATAAGATTATCCGTAAATATATTTAATGATTTATTTAATATACAAATAAATAATTTACTTACTGCCTTCCCTCTTAATCATATTACTTCCTCTGGTCTACCCTTCTGGTCTCCCCCTAAGAAACCACCACAAGAAATTATTTATAATTCTATGCATCCTATACATCTTGATTTTGTATTCTATGCTACTAAATTATTTGCGCATGCATTCGTAAGTTCTATACTTTTAACTAAACCCTAAACCCTTTATTAGGGTTTATATATATTATTCACAGGCAGATGAGGAAAGAGAGACAATTTGTTTAAGGGGTTATAACAGGGGGGGGGTTAGGGGAGGATTAAAGGGTTTGGAGGGGTTTTGGAGGGTTTAGGGTTTGGAGGGTTTGGAGGGTTTAGGGTTTGGAGGGTTTGGAGGGTTTAGGGTTTGGAGGGTTTAGGGTTTATACACCTAATATAAGACATTTACTCACTTCACTCGTATTACTACTACTGCTGCTGCTGCTGGTGCTGCTACTGCTGCTGCTGTTGCTGTTGCTGCTGCTGCTGCTGCTGCAGGGTATACCTGAGGAGAAGGACATGGAGAAGGTACGAGAGATGTCAGCAAAAGTTCCTTTACAAGCATATGAGGAGAAAAAGAGACGAATAATAATTGATGATGGAGAGGAGACACCTAGCAGCAACAGCAGCAGCAGCAGCAGCAGCAGCAGCAAAGATCAATCCCTACAATCAGCATTAGAAGGAGCAGATGATGAGGCAGAAAGATTACAAGAAATTAAACAACAACTCCTTAGTCTACGTAGGATTATATTATATCCCTCCTCCTCCTTTCTGCTGCTGCTGCTGTTGCTGCTGCTGTTGTTGCTGCTGCTGCTGCTGCTGCTGTTGTTGTTGCATATAATAATACCTATACTGTATATAATACATAGATAAATAGCCACGTAAACAAAAAAACAAACAACGTAATAAACAAATTAAATAAATAAAATAAATAAATAAATAAATAAATATATTTATTTATTTATGTATTTATGTATAGGGGGCCTGGAGAATTTACGATTTATTGCTGTACAATTTGAGAAAGATGACGTGACCAGTGGTCATGTAGACTTTGTGCATGCAGCAGCAACACTAAGAGGGGAGAATTATAAGATAAATAATATAAATATAGATATAAATATAAATAATAATAATAATAATAATAATATAAATAATAATAATAATAATAATATAAATAATAATTATTTAATTAATAAAATAAAAACTAAACAAATTGCAGGAAGAATTATTCCTGCTGTATCTACTACTACTGCAGCAATTGCTGCTCTTGCTGCAGCAGAATTCATAAAAGTTGCTGCTCGTGTATTTAAGGATATAAATAATATAAATATAAGTAATAATATAATTAATTATATAATTAATAATAATAATAATAATAATAATAATAATAATAATAATAAATTAATTAATAATAAATTAATTAATTATAATAATATACAACAATTTATTTATCTTAAGGATTTATCTTTATATAAAAATACTTTCCTTAATTTAGCTCTTCCTTTATGGATACTTAGTGAGCCTGCAGCAGCTATTAAAAATGTTGATAAGGTAAACCCTAAACCCTAAACCCTAAACCCTAAACCCTAAACCCTAAACCCTAATTCATCCTTATCAACACTAATCTACTCTTTTATACCCTCTTATTTACTCTTTTATTTTTTTACATACTTGGTTAACCCTTTTCTATATACATGGGACGTAGGAAGGCTTTTTAGGGTTTAGGGTTTAGGGTTTAGGGTTTAGGGTTTATTTGGGGTATGTGCAGGATTATGAACCTATTGCTGGTGGACCTGTTAGGGCTATGCCTCAAGGGTTTACATGTTGGGATAAGGTGGAGGTTGATATACGTAAGACAATAAACCCTAAACCCTAAACCCTCAAAAGCAGTTAATAATAATCATAGAAATAAGATTAGCGTTTGGGGTTTACTGTCTTATATATATATATATATATATATAT